CCAATTCTGACCCAGCGTGACTCTGTGACAGATAGACCTTCTCCTGTGGGGTTTGAGACTGTAATCCTTTTTTAAAAAAATCATTTTATTGGGGGCTCATACAACTCTTATCACAATACATCCATACATCAACTGTATGAAGCACATTTGTATATTCATTACCCTCATCATTCTCAAAACATTTGCTCTCCACTTAAGCCCCTGGCATCAGCTCCTCATTTCCCCCCCTCTCTCCCTGCTCCCCCTTCCCTCATGAACCTTTGATAATTTATAAATTATTATATTGTCATATCTTACCTTGTCCGACACCTTCACCCAGCCCTGTCCAACGTCTCCCTTCACCTACTTTTCTGTTGTCTGTCCCACAGGGAGGAGGTCACATGTAGATCCTTGTAATCGGTTCTCCCTTTCCAACCTACCCTCTCTCTGCCCTCCCCGTGTCACCACTCACACCACTGGTCCTGAAGGGATCATCTGTCCTGGATTCCCTGTGTTTCCAGTACCTATCTGTAGCAGTGTATATCCTCTGGTCTAGCCAGATTTGTAAGGTAGAATTGGGATCATGATAGTGGGCGAGGGTGGGGAGAAAGTATTTAGGAACTAAGGAAAGTTGCATGTTTCTTCGTTGCCACATTACCCTGACTGGCTCGTCTCTTCCCCGTAACCCTTCTGTAAGGGGCTGTCCAGTTGCCTACAGATGGGCTTTGGGTCCCCAGCCTGCACTCCCCCTCATTCACAATGATATGATTTTTTGTTCTCTGATGTCTGATACCTCATCCCTTCGACACCTTGTGATCACACAGCCTGGTGTGCTTCTTCCATGTGGGCTTTGTTGCTTCTCAGCTAAATGGCTGCTTGTTTACCTTCAAGCCTTTAAGACCCCAGACGCTATATCTTTTGATAGCTGGGCACCATTAGCTTTCTTCACCACATTTGCTTATGCATCTATGCATATGCACATATGCTATATGCACCACATTTGCTTATGCATCTATATAGTCAAGAGACTATAATTCTTTATGGAAGGAGAAAACATCATGTTTCTCCTGTGGAATGGCTGGTGGTTTTGAATTGCTAACCTGGGGTCTAGCAGCTCAATGCACAAACCACTATGTCCCCAGGGATCCTGTTGAGATAGGCTTGATTATATTGTCTCCTTGCTAGCCTGACTTCTAGTCTTTTGAATTATCCTCCTGGGATGGCAGACCCTGGTGTATAAAATAGTTAGGGTGAAGGTTGAAGATTTAGGTACACCCAGAAACAGTTCTGAAGGAATGCTTGGCCATCTCATTTAGAAATACCAGCCCCTGAAAACTCTGGGGAACACAATTCTACTCTGGCACACCTGGGGATACCCTGAATTAGAATTGGATTGATGGCAAATGGTTTGTAAATCAGGACTTGGAAAGTATTGCGAATTCTTCCTTTAAAAAATCTAATGTACTCCAAAAGGCTCAGTACAGTGCATCACGGCTGTTGTTGTTAATATGCTAAGAGTCAGTCTGACTCATAGTGACCCTATATACAACCAAACAAAACATGACCGTGTCCTACGCCGATCTCACAACCCTTCCTGTCTGAGCTCATTATTGTGGCCACTCTGTCAATCCATCTCCTTGAAGGTCTTCCTCTCGTTGGCTGACCCTTTACCAAGCCTGGTGTCCACTTCCAGAGACTGGCCTCTCCTGTCTGAACTATGTGAGTCCAGTTTCATCATCCTTACTTCTAAGGAACATTTTGAACACTAGAAAAAGAAGTAAACCCAGCATCAATTTGTTTTTCTGATAGTTAAAGATATATTTAATATTCCTCACCAATATGATAATTCATAATTCAGAAGCACCCATTCCTTTTCAGGCTTCCTTAGTCATTACATGCACATGAAATTGGTCAAAATAGCAATAATGAAATAGTGCAATAAAATATAAAACACCAAGAAAGTAAAAACCTGAGGATCACCTTCTCTGCTTTCTTTCCGATATGTGTTTGGATGAAGGGGTCTCAACTTTTTTTTAAAAAAACTGTTGCTGGTTTTGCCACTTCATTCATTCAAGCTCCACCAATAAAAATTTCAAGTGCCTCTAATTCTCCTAGGGGCAGAGGACGAGACTATGAGAAGTTGCCTTTAGCGGAAGGCTTTCTTTTCACAAATCAGAAATTCCATCATATATATTCCTATTCTCCTAAATAACTGTCGAGGGGACCATCCGGATGAGCTATTGCAGAGAGCCACCTGAGCCTTCACGGTTCCAATGCGATGGGGCTCCAGATCAGAATTGTAAAATAGTTTAGAGCAGCTTGGAATATAAAACATGGGGCAGGAAACCAAAGGAGATTTAATCTTATTTATAGAAAGGTGGTTGTTAGGGGAGGGGACAATGGAATAGAGTGTCTTGGGATTACCATTAATCACTTTTTAAGTACCAACAAAGTGAAAACATCCACTGGAATTCACTGCAAGTGACACAGAATTCCTCTACTAAGCAAGTATGGGATGAGTTGATAAAAAAGAAGGAGAAGAAAAAAGGTCTTGAACTCTTGACTACAGATATAATACAGTGGATACAGAAAATCAAAACGTGCTTTCTATCTGACTCAAAATAAAGGTGCACTTAAACTTGTAAAAGACAACATTTTTATTTGAATGATATGACAGAATTGTCACAGGAGTGTTACCTGCTATAAAGAAAGCCCAAGAATTATTACCTTTATTAGACCAGTGACACCGAGCTTTAGCCATACATTTCTAACTTCTGTCCCTCTACAGAGACAATTTTCTTTTCTTAAATAAACTGTCATGCTAGTGTTAATATATTGTTGGTTCTCTCATGCTCTGAGAATACTGCTGATATAAAACATGTATATGTTAGATTGGTAATAGTATCTTTAGTGTAGCTGACTAGAACAAATGTGTTTCCCTCATGGCTGTGCTAATGTGATAAAGGAAAATTGGCTGTTCATCAGCTTTTGGCTGGGTAAAGACAGTAGAGATGGAACCACATTCTTTTTTATGCATTAATACCACCGAGAACTTTTCACTAGTTATATTTCATGTGCCTGCATGTTGTGCGAAAGATGTTGTAAAACATGAGATAATGCTACAAATAACAAAGTAGAAAAGCCTGTATCTTTTATAATGATAACAGTCAAACACCAAATGACAGTAACAGGCTGTAAAAAATGGGGTGCAAAAAAAGAAAAGAAAAGCAGCCCTACTCCCCAGCAGAGAGGTATATATCCAGGTATGTGCTTTTATGCTTGTTAAAGCTTTGTTTTAAAATTAAATAAAATGTAGCACTGGCCCAGAAAAGGCTCAGACTTTAGAATATGGTTAAAATGAAGACATGTTGATTATAATGGAGAAAAGCCACATTCGTTATTTTATGAAGAACTAATATTACCAAGTAATAAATATGTTAACTTCCAGAGATTATTTTGTGGGAAGAGTGAAAAGATGGCTTATTAAAAGGATTCATAAGACAACCTTTCACACAATGAATTAAATATAGCTGAGAATAGATATGTGTCTTTACTAATTATTGAAAGGATATTTTATTAGAAACAGCATTTTGAATGCTATGGTATGATTTTTAAATCAAAATATTCAGCACTGCTAAACTTTCTGTGGTAAGTCACTGCCTCACTGTTTCTCTACGAAGTCATTCATTGGCCGTTTCAGCAATCGTACTGGGGCGGAGGTGCTCAAGGTGATGGCCAAGCAGCTGGACGGTTTATTCAGAAAAACATGCCATCATGAAAGATTTTGTATAGACACCACAAGTGACGTACTCGACATAAAATCTGATGGCATTATATTGGCCATTTTGGGATTTTATCATACATGCAGAAATTCAATACTTTTTATGGGACAATCCATGGGTCTTTCAGAGGCATGAGGTAGAGCAGGCTGCCTTCCTCTTTTCAAAAATCAAGCTTTGTTGGAGCACAGGCATGCCCACTTGGTTAAGTATTGTCCACACAGTACAAGAATTGCGTCATTGTGACAAAGACCATTTGGTCTGCAAAGTGAAATGATTTGCCCTTAAAGAAATGATGTTTATTCTTTGGCCATTTAGAGAAAAAGTTTGCTGATGTCTTCAGTAAATAGCTCTTATGTTGCATGATGGATTGCCCCGAAATGCACTTGGCACATTTCTTAGTTCTTCTATATTGTGGAAAAGCAGTAAAACATTTCCTAACTGGATACCAACACCTCAAAGGGGTCAATATTGCAAGAAAGACCATCTACTGGAAACTACCTGGTTTTGAATAATCTCTTCTCTTTGTATTTACTTTGTCTTTACTCTGGCTGTGACAAAGGTAATGAGTATCTGCAGATGATATAATTGCAAAAATCCTAATCTCTCACAGCAATCTAAGCTACTGCATAAACCAGCACATCATTTTATGTATATCCGTGAATGCCCTAGGAGATACCACCTGTCTTAGTTATTTAGTACGAATGTGACAGAAATACCACCAGGGGCTGGGTTTGTAGGACAGAAACTTATTTTCACAGGCTTTAGGGGAAGGCTCTTTTCCTGTTGTTTCTGAGGGAACATATTCTTCACTTTCTGTAGACCTGATATTCTTTGATTCTTTGTCAATCTCTGTGTGGCATTTATCCTCCCTTCTGTGTTCGTTTCTCTTGCCTTTCTATAAAACTATGTGACCATACTAACGTAACAAAGAGAACTCAATTTACTCCCAGATCAGAGGACACAGACAACTGCAGGGATTAGGGTTCCAGCACATATTTGGGAGTGGGGAGGAGGGAGGCACAATGCAACCCCTACCCCACCGTCGAAGCACAAGATCACAATACTTAGAATGAGGAAAACACAGATACATTACTGATCCATCAAAAAATTGTTTCTACTTTTCTCACCTGCAGTAAACGGAGAAGGAGATAATTCTAGAATGCTAGCTAAGATATAGTCATTATAAAAATCAAAGTTTATGTACCTAATATATGGTGTAATGGTATTTATTTCTTACAGGTGGATCAGAAAAAAATCAGTTTCTTCATCAATGGTTTGGAGGAGGATCATGCAGCTTTTGATGCAAGAATTCTCCGTGGTTCAATTACCAATACTGCTTCTGGTACTATGCAAATCGGACAGAGTTTAAATGGTAAGACTCTATCATCATAATGCTATTTACCTCACCCAATTACACTGTTCCAAAAAATAGCATCAAGCAGCATTTAAAAATATTCAGGGGAGCTTTAAAACTACTATATCATATGTCCTCCAGAAACAGTAATGAGAGTAATGATTCCCTGAGTGTATGGGAAGTAAGGGAGGGAAGGGGAAGAATGGGGAGCTGATAGCAATGATGAATGTATAACCCTACTTGAGGGGAACGAATAGCAGAATTTTAGGGGAACAGACACATTGGATGGTGTAAGATACAGCAAATAATAATATATCATATAATAATAAGGGTTCCTGGGAGGGGGGTTGGGTCTGGGAGGGAGGGGATAAAGGGAACTGATATCAAAGAGCTCAAGAAGAAAGAAAATGTTTCGAAACTGATGGTGGTAGCAATTGTACAATTATGCTTGATCTAATTGAATTATGGGCTGTTATAATATTTGGAAGCGCTCCCAATAAAATGATTAATTAAAAAAGCAAAAATCTTCTATATTAAAATAATTTCTTATAGCAAAAACCATATGTGATCTGTATTTTTTCTTGTTATTTTTACTTCAATGGTAGATATTATTGCAATATAATACTTAAAATATTAGCTAAAAACTAAGAAGTAATGTTCAAACATGGAATAAACTGGATCCATGGTTCAAATATTCTTTTTTTAAAAATTATTTTATTGGGGGCTCGTACAATTCTCATTACAATCCATCCATCCATCCATTGTGTCAAGCACATATGCACATTTGTTGCCCTCATCCTTCTCAAAACATTTGCCTCCCACTCTAGCCCCTAATATCAGTTGCTCATTTTCCCCCTTCCTCATGAACCCTCCATAGTTCATAATTATTATTTTGTCATATCTTACACTGTCCGACATCTCCCTTCAACCACTTTTCTGTTGTCCATCCCCCAGGGAGGAGGCAATACTTAGATTCTTGTAATTGGTTCCCTCTTTCTACCCCACATTCCCTTCACCCTCCAGGCATTGCCCCTCTCACCACTGATCCTGAAGGAGTCATCAATACTTGATTCCCTGTGTTTCCAGTTGCTATCTGTACCAATGTACATCCTCCGGTCCAGTCAGATTTGTAAGGTAGAATTGGGATCATGATAGTGGGGCGGGGGGGGAAGCATTAAAGAACTAGAGGAAAGTTATATGTTTCATCATTGCTATCCTGCACCCTGATTGGCTCGTCTCCTCCCCCAAACCCCTCAGTAAGGGGGTGTTCAGTTCAAATATTCTTCACCCCAAAATAAGGAACATTGTTTAAGAAGATGATTGGTATACTTAGATAGACCATGGATATATGAATGAATCGTGGGCTTGCGCTTTATTCTGGTCCCAATCTAAGAACAATTAGTGCTTATGGCACAGCCTTGCTTGATTCTCACCCTCATGAATAGATCACTGAAGTGGGTGATATAGCAATGTGTGGTGAAGAAACTAGATGGTGCCTGGCTACCAGAAAGAATAGTGTCTAAGAGCTTAAAAGCTTGTCTTCAAACAAGCAAACATCTAAGTGAGACATCCAATAGGACCAGATAGAAGAAGCACAGCGGCTCAGTGAGCTCTAACCACCACCACCACAATGGTGTAGAGTAAGGTCAGCCTACTACAGCCAAAGGGCCATATCTGGATTATGGCCTGACTTTTATCAACACGGTTTATTGGAACCCAATTGTGCCTGTTTAGTAAAGTATTATATAAGACTTCTTTTATGTGACTACAGGTTAGGTGAATAACTGAAACAGAGACGATAAGTCTTTTTAAGCCTTATATTTGATGTATGCTACCTGGCTCTTTACAGAAAATATTTGTCAATTTATGAATTAAATATGGTCTAATACAGTGAATGTTCCATTTCTATTTAAAAATCATGTTTCTTTTACAGTTGTTCACTAGATTGTTTTGTATGTTTCAATCATTTTAATTGTTGAAGTTTTAATTGTGTTTTTAAAATCATCTATATTCTTGCAGATTTCTTTTGCGGGATAGTAGAGTTGTGGTTTTCTCCGAAGTCCTTCCATTGAAATTTAAAATTTATCAAATCTTCCTTAAGTTTTATGAATTCTGCTCTATGAGTTTTGAAGCTTTGTGATTGGGTGCATTCACATTTAGGATTCTTATGCCTCCTAATGAGCTGACACTTAACAACAAGACATGCTCCTCAGACTTGGCTTGGTGCCAGGGAGACCTCTAGTAGCACTGTTTAAAAGCTGACTTTGTCTTATCCTAATGCAGCCACACCAGTGTTCTTCTGCCCAGGGTTAGCATATTTTGGAATCCGGTTTTTCCAACGGAAAATAGTTCCGTTGGAAACTTCAGGATCAGTGGTGAGAGGGGCAATGCCTGGAGGGTGAAGGGAATGTGGGGTAGAAAGAGGGAACCAATTACAAGAATCTAAGTATTGCCTCCTCCCTGGGGGATGGACAGCAGAGAAGAGGGCGGAGGGAAACATCGGACAGGGTAACTTATGACAAAACTATAATAATTTATGAACTAAAATAATTTATGAACTTTTTATTTAGGATACTTCTCTTCTAAGCAGCATATAATTGACTTTCTTTTTTAATTTTTAATATAGATTTCAGTAATCTCTGTCTTTTAATCAGTTTTATTAGAAATTTTGAATTTCGTGGGTAATAAATGCTTTTTACTTTTATACTGATTACTCTTTTCTGCTTGGGAGTTTATGTTGATGTGTCGTAGGAGAGTGTGGAACGCTGGTTGCACAGTGGTTAAGTGTTCAGCTGATAGCCCCAAATTCAGCAGTTCAAACCCATCAGGGATTCCACAGGAAAAGATGTGTTAATCTGCTCCTGTAAAGATTAAAGCCTTGAAAACCCCAGGGGGTAGTTTACTTGATCATATATAGTCACTAGGTGTCAGAGTTGACCTTCCAGTAATGGATTTTTTAGAGAATAAAACAAATAATTTGAACATATCACTTGTCACATAGTAAATGTCTAGTAAGAGGAAGCTATTATTAACCTCTTTGAACGTATTTTGAATTGTGAAAGAGGAATTAGATATCTCTTCACAGGATTATTGTACGGATCAAAAGAGGGGCTGTCTAGCAAAGGTTGTATTGCTTTCATACTCTTAGATTAAACAAAAATCATACGAATAAGCAATAATTTAAAGAAGCTATACATTTAGAACTAAGCTTGGTTCAAGTAATTGGAATATTGAAGAATTTTATAAATTACCCAGCATGAAAATTTTCAAATAACATATTAAATCTTGTGAGCCTTATTTCAATATTTAATCCCCATTAATATTTCTAAAATGTTTTATTGCACCAAACGTGGCTCCGAGTATTCAATAGTGCTATAAATTTGTCGACTATGCACTGTGGAGCTGAAATGACTTGCCTCTGTCCTCCTTCCCTACACTCAACATCGAATTCATACTTTAAAAGTCCTGAGGGTGCTTTGTGTTTTTATACTGTGTCAAAATACAATTTTGATTTTTATTCGAATGTGCTTATCTGAAAAAGGACTTATTTCTAATCCTGTTGAGTTCTTATGTTATAATTGTCTCTGAAAAGTTCTGAGCATCTGAGAACCAGAGAAGGAAAAGGAGATTTTAAAATAATTTTTATCTTTATTCTATCAATTTATAGGTACAGTTGTACCTACTGTATCTTTTCTCTAATTAGAGATGGCATGTAGACTGGCTCATTACTTCTGCCTAATGAGCCAGGCCCCATGCCACCTCTCTAATCATAAAAGAGATAGGTACAGAATGTTCCCATGGACTTAGTATAAATCATTTTCTTTCTCTTGCTTGCTCTTTTGTCTCTCTCTCTCTCTCTTGATAAAAAAAATTAAGTCTCTGTCCTCCATACTTTTGTCTATATCCAAGATGTTTTCATTCCGAAAAAGTCATTGTGCAAGAGATGACTGTGAGCCGAGTTAAAGTTAGGCTCATGCAGTGCCGGGCCGGCTGTCACTGCTTTGGCACAGACTCTGCTCAAACTGTGCTTGTCCAACGAGAGTGCCTAGTGGCTCAGGAAATGGTTTGTTCTTTCCTCGGTGAACCTTACTGCGGTGCCTTGTCTCCACACCCAGAAAGCAACAACTTGCGTGTTGGCTGCAGCAGAGCTTTGTCTTTGGTTTTACCACTAACTAGCAAAACAGTTTAGAAAATTATTTTGTCAGTGATATTTCTTGTTCCTGTAGGTTTGGTCTCTGTTGCCTTCAGGAAATTTCTCAATGGATCAAATAAACTCCTTTTACTGAATACTGCAATTTGTCCGGGCTGATTTTGAAATGTATAAAGAGAAACACCTTGTTGCTGCTGTTAATTGAATTTATACCACTGATATTTATCAGTTCCTTTTAGGATAATTTTTCCAGCAGCAGATTTGTTTTAATGCTTGAAATTGGGTATAGACCCTAGGGGAGTTGTGATAGCTACTTGCTGGAATAAGGCATCCTGGCAGTGCTGTTGGGTGAGGCTTGGACTGCTAATTGCAAGGTCAGTGGCTCTAACCCCCAGCAGCTCTCTATGGCAGAAAGATGATGCTGTCTTTCCTTGTAAAGTTCAGAAAGCTTCAGACACCCTATATAAAGTAATTGTGCATCAGAATTCACATGATGATAGTGGATGGTAGGTGGGTGGTGGTGGCATGATGGGTTATGCCTTGAGCTGCCAACCACAAGTTCAGTGATTCAAACCCACCAGTTAGTACAAGGGAAAAAGATGAGGCTGCCTACTTCTGTACAGCCTAGAAAACCCAAGGAGGTAATTCTATTTTGTGCTACGGGGTTGCTATGAATCAGAATAGATTTGATGGCAGTGAGTTTGGCTTAGAATGTCATTAGTGGGGGCTGGAATCTGCACTAGGGAGCACAAAGTCACTGTGGTAATATACTACAACAGACTTCCAAAATTTAGATTAAAAATCTAGCAACCGTGTGATTCAAGGTTTTCTTATCAGTGCTATTTCACCTGTCAAAAGAGTTCTGACT